CCCCCAGGGCTCCTGTCCTGCTCCCCCTCCCCCACGGTTCCGCTGGGACACTGGTCATCAGCCAGGGTCTCCGCCAGGAAACAGAACCACCCGACTGGATGCCTTTCAGGAAGGTGTTATTTATTTATGGAGGCACCAGCCGGGCCTAGGGAGCCGGGGAGAGGGGAGAGGGGAGAGGGGAGAGGGGAGAGGAGAGAGACACTGAGAGCGAGGGCTGAGGAGGCGAGAGGAGGAAGAGCCGCTAGGCATTGGGGAAGGTGGCCATGGCAGGCGTGGGGCTGAGCAGGAACACCTGTCTGAGTCTCTCTCATCCTGCCCTCGGGTCTCAGACTTCTCACAGGCGGGCGGGCAAGCAGAGGTGCGGGAGCCCAGGTGGCCGGGCCCAGAGGTGGGGTCCGTGGGCACAGGCAGGGGAGGGTGGAGGACGATGGGACAGGGGCAGGGGTTGAGCAGGGGACAGCAGCCCAGCTGTTCCCTGGCTGCAGGCAGTGGCTGACACCTGAGAGCAAACCTGATGCTTGATTTCTCCTGGGAATGGTGCCGCCTGGCTGTGTCAAGTGGCGGCAGGTGATGCTAACTGTGCCAGCTCGGCAGGCTAGCTGCCCAGGTGTGCTGGTCTAATGCTCCTCTCAAGGTTGCTATCAAGATTTTTTTAAAAAAATCTTCACCAGAAGGTATGTTTATTGATTTGAGAGAGAGAGGGAGAGAGGGGGAGAGAGAGAGAGGGAGAGGGGGGGAGAGAGAGAGAGAGAGAGAGAGAGAGAGAGAGAGAGAGAGAGAGAGAGAGAAAGGAGAAGAAGAAGAAGAAGAAGAAGAAGAAGAAGAAGAAGAAGAAGAAGAAGAAGAAGAAGGAGAAAGGAAGAGAGAGGAAGAGAGAGAGAGGAAGAGAGAGAGGAAGAGGAAGAGAGAGAGAGAAGAAGAGAGAGGAGAGAGAGAGAGAGAGACATCGATCTCCATCGGTTGCCTTCTGTATGCACCTCGACCCGAGATCGAACCCGCAGCCTCGGTAAGTGCCCTGAGCGGAATCAGCCCCAGCCATCGGTGCACCCGATGCCCTTCTGCTGAGGGCTGAGGCTCTCAGGCCTGAGCACTGGCTGGGCAAATACTGAGGTTTTGAAAGGAAAGAGAAGCAATTCTGCCTTGACTGGAGCAAGCGCCTACCTGCGTTCCCAGCTCTGCGGACTCCAGACCTCCAGAGGATAACCAGTCCTGCCTGGCCGGTGTGGCTCTGTGGATAGAGCGTTGGCCTGTGGACTGAAGAATCCCAGGGTCAATTCGTCAAGGGCACGTACCTCGGTTGCAGGCTCCTCCCCGGCCCCAATCAATGTGTCTCTCTCACATCGGTGTTTGTCTGTCTTTCCTTCTCTCTTCCACTCTCTCTAAAACTCAATGGAAAAAATCCTCAGGTAGGATTAACAAATAAAAGCAGACACACAGGGTGGGAGGTGCCTTCTCCAAGTAATGCCTCCCTCACCTGGAGGAGGGCTGAGGGCTTAGGCTCGAGGCCATATGTGCAGGAGGGGAGGTTGGAGAGTCCGGGGAGCAACCCCCTCCTTTCTCCCCCGCCCCCTGCCGCTCCCAGTGCAGCTGAATCTGGTCTTTGCAAACACGTTCAGAGAGAGGAACGCCTGCCTGAGGAGGTCTCCCCACAGGCCCCTAACAATGGCCATGGCCAAGCCTGGCTGCATTCCCCCTCCAGCCTGCACAGGTTCAGGGCAGCCGTAGCCTGTTCTGGGGTGCTGGGAGCAAAGTGGGGGGCTGCCCCCGCTCCAAGGCCTGTGAGAAGGCTGGCTTCCCTCGTCCTCTCTTCCTGGAGCTGGGACCCCAGGGCTTCCCAGCCCCTGAAGCACAGCCCCCCACCTTGCCAAACTCTCACCACCCTTCAGCCTCCACCCACGTCCCCTTGCACCCAGGGCACTTTGGGCAATAAATTCAGGGGTCCGTCCGTCCTCTTGGTCGTCCTCCGGCGTCCGGCCCAGCACGGCACAGTGACAGCCTCTTCGCACAGGCGGGCACTTTCGAAGTGAGGGGCTTCAAGGAGTCTGGCTGGTGGTCTGGGTTACAGATGAGGACATGCCTGCTCCTTTCATGGCAGAAATCCTATCTAACAAGGAGGAAATATGCTATTTGACCCTCACGCCGTTGCAAGGATGGCGGCGCTCACAGCCAATAAGGAGGGAATATGCTAATTGACTGCCCCACCCTCAAAGATGGCAGCGCCCACAGCCAATAAGGAGGGAATATGCTAATTGACTGCCCCACCCTCAAAGATGGCAGCGCCCACAGCCAATAAGGAGGGAATATGCTAATTGACTGCCCCACCCTCAAAGATGGCGGCGCCCACAGCCAATAAGGAGGGAATATGCTGCCATGCCCTCAAAGATGGCGGCGCCCACAGCCAATAAGGAGGGAATATGCTAATTGACT